CCATCCTCAATGTCCGGGATGGACTTGACGCCCTGAGATTTCTTGAACAGTTTTTCAAGCTTGCTCACCTTCAATGCTGTGGGGTCCACCTCGGACTCAAAGGGAGAATCCGGCAGGTTAGTGGGTGTTTTGGATAATTGGGGTAGGATTGGGGGCGGAGCCGGTCCTATCGGAATGTCTGTATCTCCCTGGACATTTGGTGCCTCCTCGGGTGCTAGAACTCCTGGTGGGGGAGGGGCTTGGTGTGAAGCAGATGCTCCGGTTTGCTGCTGTAGCTGGGTAATTAACTCTACCTGTTGAGCCATGATCGCAGCCTGCTGTTTGGCAAATTCCGTCTGGCGGGCAGCGTCTTGCTGCATGAGTTTCATACTTTCTTGGAGTTGACGCATCATTTCCTCCATCCCTACCATGTTCTGTTGTTCCGGTTGACTGACTGGTATATCTATCTCTGTGATAAAAACTGAGGCCTCAGTCTGACTGTTCACTAGTGGGGTGAATAAGGGCCACTGATCTGGTAACTACTGAACTGGTGATCTGTGCCTAACTGGCCCCTTTTACCCTGCCTCTGGCAAAGAAACGCTGATTGCCCTTGAATTGAATCTCTGACCCAACAAAGTCTATCAACACAAGTCAAATGAATCCGGGGGATCTCAGAGCCTTCTGAAGCTATGGTTCCAAGACTACCTAGCAAAAGAGAAAACATGCAGCATCTCAGCCTGATTTCACCAAAACAGATATGAGCGTAGCTGAATGACCGTGCTCTTTACCAAATTCTGCCAAAAAGTCCGCCTGTAAACTGATACCCTCAGGTAAAACTGATTCCCAAATACTGATGCCCGCAGGCCTGATACCCAGACTTGCAAACTGTTACATGCATTCTTGTAGGGACACACCCTAAAAGCACATAACAAGCAAATGAGAGCCAAAACACCCCTATGGAGGGGAAGGGTTTCACTACGCACGCTGCGGTTTCAAACAACCTATAATCGAGTAAGCAACCTGTCCTAGCTTTGGAATGGTCACTATGGATTCCGAATATGGACTAGGTAGAATGGTCAAAAGGGTGCCCCGATAAAACCGGGGTTTGTGTTCCCGTCGTGGCAGAGCCCGCAACCGGTCAGCCTCATGGCACGTTTCTCGAAGCGAGCCTCCGGCAAACCGTTCAGGAATAGCATACGGCAAACACGGTGTCCTAGGCGTACCAATGCAAATACAATGCAAAGAAACACACAAGTGTAGTCAAAACCAAATATCATGAGTTCGAGTCAAGTTCTCTAAATCCCCAGTAGAGTCGCCAAAAACTGTAGACGTCCCCGAACGCCCCGGGAGGGAAATCCCGTTTTGTTCGTTTGGGCTTACTACAATTCGGACTCAAATTGTCAGGGTCCTGTATCTAATCTCGTAGAGTGCAATGCAAGACCGATGAATCGTCAAAGAGTCTAAATCTGGCAAATCGTTTTTGAAAACAGATTTTTTTTTGAAAGAAGTGCCAAACATGGACTGCTTTGCCAGATACAGAGTCACCACCTAAATATTTTATTTTGGGAAATTTAGGAAACCCTGACTCGTTGCCTAAGGCCACGTGTCCGTCATCACCAAAGTTGCCTCGGCTCGGGAATTTGGGTACAATTGGGGAAGGTCACTTCGTGAGCACCCCCCGTGTAGACGTCCCCGAACGTCCCAGGAGGAAATCCCCCCCTCTCCCGTTTTGTTCATATGGGCTCACTACAGTTCAGGACTCTCAATGTCACGGTCCTATATCTAATCTCGCAGAGTGCAATGCAAGACCGATGAAATCATCAAAGAGTCCAAATCCGGCAAATTGTTTTTGAAAACAGATTTTTTTTTTAAAGAAGTGCCAAACATGGACTGCTTTGCTAGATACAGAGTCGCTACCTAAATATTTATTTTGGAGGAATTTAGGAAACCCTGACTCGTTGCCTAAGGCCATGTGTCCGTCATAACCAAAGTTGCCTCGGCTCGGGAACTTGGGTACGATTGGGGAAGGTCACTTCGTGAGCACCCCCACTCGCCCGATCAAAGATCGGCCTCTACTAACCATGATATCTAGTTTTGAAAACATTATGCGTTCTTATTCCGGTTATTAGCCTAGATTTACTATGTGATGCGCACAGCATACAAGTATAGACTGGATCGCCTGAATTAGAACAAAACATCTCATGTTTGTTTATTTGAAAATGGTTTGATGGTGCTACTCGTAAGTAGGCTAAGACGTGGATTTGCCACCCTCGGGTGGGCTTAGAAAAACATGATTTTGCCACTATCTAGTGGGCTTAAAACTCGTAGTCGATGAGTTATTCCAATCCAAATAACCCAACCTTCACCCACAGGCATTCAGGCAGGTATATCACATAAGCACATAGCCTCATGGTAAGCATGCTATCATGGCAGTCACTCACACATATGCAAGGATGCTAAAGCATAAAAC